AACCTAACTAACTTATATTTTATCCATATTCTTTTCTTTTTTTATATTTTACATTATGTAATCTCTTAAGAAAGAATAAGCTACTAAAAAAAAGTTTAATAATATTATCCCTATAATATTCTACTTTATTTTAGTTTAAATAACTAAAGAAGTATAATAAATCTTAAAAAAGAGGATAAAAAATAAAACTAATTAAAGCTAGAAAAACTTAAAAATACTTATTTTTAACTAAGTTTTAAAATATACAAATTAGTAAACTTTTGTTATTAACTAAGCTAAAAGATCTTAAAGTTTTCCTAAGGAGTTAGTTATTAAAGTTATTAAGAGGATTAAAAAAGGTATAAAAGTAAATATATTTCTTATTTATTTATTTAGTTTTTTTTATTATAAGCTAATTAAACCTCTATCTATTTATATAGGTCTTTTCTTCTTATAATAACGCCTAATACTTATAAAAACGCTTATCTAACTTCTTATTTTTAAGTTAAAATCGTTAAGAATTCTAAGAACTCTACCCCCTTCTAATAGTATATCTTAGAACTATTTAGGGGCGTTAATTAGCTTACGTTAAGCATAAAACTGCGTCTATTTATATAGGGGTTAAAGAAACTAAGTTTCTGTATAAAGAACTAGTTTCTACTTCTAATATCACTAAGAACTCTATAGCCTTACCCTTAAAAAAGCTTTTTATAACTTATAATTAACTTTTAAAAATCGCAAAAACTCCTAATTAAATATTATACTTATCTATAGTTATAGTAGTTCTTTTAATATCTATAACACTAACGTATATAGAGCTTTATAATAAAGGATTTATAACCCTTACTTTAAGTAGAAATAAGTAGATGTTTAGAAAGGTTTTTAATTAAAGTTAATATATATTATATTAATTTATATTAAAGTATTACCTAATATAATATTATATATAATATTACATGTTAATATTAATATTAATATGGATAGGTTTTTAATAGCTAATTATTATAGGTCATATATAATTCAATATTAAAAAAACATTAAGATTTCTTTATTAGTTAATTAATAATATAATATTATATATATCTTTATTATTATTAATAATATACTATAATTAATAATATTATAACTAATAATATTATAACTAATAACATTATAACTAATATTATAATTATTAAATATTAGTTAAATAACTATATAACTTGAAACTATTATTAAATTATTGATAATTAATTGATTAGAATTAAATTATTAGTTTTCTAAGTGTAGTATATATTATTATACTATATTACTATAGATTTGAAGGTGGGGCTATAATATACTACAAACTATAAAAAGTGAGTTATAATGTACTATAAAAATAATTTTAATATTATAACTATATTACACTATATATAGTATATAGTATATTACGTAGTTATAATATTACTATATAGTATTTATTAATGCTCTAATAGTATTATTATTATAAGATAAAAGCGTAGTGCCTAACCTACTAAGCTAAAAGGTATATACGCTTAGTAGATATTAACTACTGTGCGCGTGGTTAGGCCTTAAGAACCCTATGCGCGCCCACACGCTTACTAAGGTAGTACGTACTATAGTACGTACTTAGGGTATGTACCTTAAGCGTGTGGTAATTATATATAGGTTTCTATTAATTAGTTATTATAAGATATACATAATTCAATAATAAATACTTATTAAGATATCTTTACTAGTTAATTTATAATACAATAATATATATATATATATATATTAATTATTATTAATATTTTATAACTAATATTATTATAATTAATATTATAATTACTAGTTACTAATTAACTAACTACGTAACTTAAAACTTTCTATAAATAATTATTAATTAATTAATTAGAATTAAATAACTAGTTTTTAAAATATAGTATATAGTATAATACTATATACTATAAAAAATAGAGCTATAGTATACTATTAAAATATTTTTAATACTATAACTATAATATATTATATAAAGTATATAGTATACTATATAATACTTATCAACACTCTGATTTATGTAAATAAAAGCTAGTTTAATATAGTATTAATATATTAGATTTCCTAGGTTTTTTAGATTTTTATTCTTTTTTAGAATTTCTAAAAAGAATTAATTCTTAAGAAATAGCTATAATTAATATTATATTTATTTAGTTTACTATAGAATATAGTATTATATAACTATATTTATACAGTATAAAAAGTCTTTCAAAAGTTTGTAATAGACTTTATTATAGTTAAAGTTATAAATCTATACAGAAAAATAAATATATTTCTATTAATAACGAAAAACGCTTATATTTATAGGTATATACTATATATACTAAAACTAATAAGATAGAAATTTTCGCGATCTTAAGAGCTTAATTATAATTTATAATACTATAATTTTAAAGTTAGGGTTATAGAGTTATTAGCAATAACCCTAGTGGAACCCAGTTTCCTATATAGAAACCCAGTATTTTCGCCCCCTACGTGAGTAGGAGGCTCTGCGCAAGCGCGAAAACCCCTAGATAATGCAAATCCCGATGAAGGACCCTGCATATAGTCTGGACAAGGATTGCTTGAGTGGGTATCTGGGCCAGCAATACCCGGATTAGAAGCCTCCTGCGTGCAACATATCTCTTGTGGGGGTGGTATCTCTTCCCTTCGCGTTTCTCAAACTAAGACACTATGGTACGTATCAGGTTAGTATTACTCACGTCTATTAACACTATCAATCTCTCATCACGTCTATCGGTTATCCGTTTAAACGATCTACAGGGGACGCGCTCTGCTTTCGAATTACCAAACTAGCGAGATTATGCAGGCGAGAAGCCGCCTGGTGGATGATGACGTCTCTGTCGTCGATGTTTCTCCGGCTTAGGTTCATGAGTAGCTGGGCATCAATGTTTCTGCGAAGGAACAAATAATCACAAATGTTGTGACTTGTACGTCTTAGAATCACACTTGAACAGGGAGGTTGTGCCATTCACATGAAACTTCCATTGTATGGACAAATCATTACTTCAACAACGCGATAAAATCTACTAGTCAATTTATGTATCTTCGGCATCCACTGAAGTGTGCAAAGTACAGCTCTCAGATCGGCGATGCGATTAAATAGGCATCTCAGGAAACCTTGCGATGAATTCTGGTGACATTGTCCAGTTTTCCAAATTCCTCGCATGCTCTTCAAATTTTGAGTGCAGCACTGTATGCCCTTCAACAATTGAGACCGCATCCGCAATTGCAAAGGGCCAATTGACGCTGACGTTGGATGAAAAGTGAGGAGAAAAGACAGGATGCGTTAGTTCCTCCGATTTCTCGATGAGGTGATCACGAACGCCCGGCCTTGTTGATTATTAGCCGGCGAGTCTCGCGATAGCATCTTGACAAATCATACCAGGGGATATTATCCATCCAGATTGGATGTTGGACGGAAACTTGTGTCACTGTGGGCCGTAGCCAGGTTGGCAGGGCCATGAAGGCCTCCTTGGTTGGTAATATGAGCCACTGAGATCCTGGGGGTTAGCATACTTGTTCTGCCCAGACGCTACCCAAGAATTCCGGTTATCCACCTTCATTGTCAAGCTCATTATGTAGAAGAACGCAAATCTCTCGGGTTTCTTAAGACCGGGGAAGGTGGTCAGGACTTGCGATAACAGAGCGCTGAGTGGATGTAAGGATATGGTCGTTGATTCTTCGAATAGCGCTCCGAGTGACGGCCGGTGATCCCCCAGCACGGTATCAAGCGTAACTCCCTGCAACAGCATCGCTCTACGCGAAGCCGCGAATCCCGAAAGGATGTGGTCTAGCGGGCATGTTGGTGCTGAGTGGAGAGGGGTGACCAGGTGCGCCGCAATGGGGCCCGAGGCATATGAAGATCCGGCTTGAACGGCGCTGGTCGAGATAATAGAAGATATTGTTCCTTGTTCTGCGGGAAAAATCACCCCAGACGTTGAGCATTGCGTGTTTGCCGCTGTCTCGATCAAGCCAGATTTTGCGTTGATCTGACTGAAAGCCTCGCGTGTCGGGGAATAAGATGCGTTGGACCACGGAATTCTTGAGTCGTTCAGCAACCGGAGTAGCAAGACGTTCTGCTCGCGTAAACAAAACAACTCTTTGTCTTTCTCATTGCAGATTTCTCTAGTGCTCGCAATTTCCTGTTCGAGATTGGAGATGTAGTCCTTCGTCTTTTGTCGAAATACACGCTGTGCCCTGCGGTCAATGTTACGCTTCCGCTGGACTTGCTCGTTGCTGAGAGTCTCTACGGTTCTGATGCGCCTTGTACTACGGCCCTCATTACCGCCAGCGGAGTCCATGATCAAGCCGAGTGAGTCGAGAAATTACCCAACTCGTGCCCAGCTGGACAGCCGAAGATAACTGTCAACTAATTTGATCCGGCGCTGCTTTTCTAGAATGGCGGTGCGTTGGACAGTGAAGAGAAGATTCCACCGTTTGACCGTTTACCAACGAGAGGGAGGTGATCGCGATGATCACAAAACGTGGGGCCAACAGTCGGCAATAAGGGGACTCCAAGAGGCATGACAAAGTCAAGCACCACTCAAGCTGGTACCTACTGAGGATAATATGTAGACAGCAGAGATAAAATGGCATTAATCATGCCCGCAGACGTAGACTGCAGAGATAATATGGCATTAGTCATGCCCGCATGTAGAGGCAAAGACGACATGTGCGTGAAATGGCTTGATTAATTTAGCAACAAACTCTAGGCCGAGATCCGTTCAACATGGCATTAGTCATGCCCCAATTTCTTGGGGGAAAGTACCACGGGGTACCCTAGCCCAGAAAACGATTCGCTCCGAACCCCCCCCTGCTTTTTCTTATGATAGGGTCACCTCTTGCACTTGGCTCACCCCAGCCCTGGGCGTATATATGAGATAAATCCCGAGTCTAGCAACATAGCCAAAAAATAATTCAATTTTTTTTTTTTTTTTTTTTTTTTTTTTGAATTGTATCTCAAGTCCTTTTGAGAAGATCCACGATTACAATCTGCCACGATGACTTCTTCAGCGGCGACGACATCCTTTTCTGCCCTCCGGATAGGTTCTGCCTCTGGCGCTGTTACGGACCGGCGCCATGGTTTCAAGACACTTGCAGAGCTCGGAGATGTCCAGTTCATTGTGGGGGACTGGATGTCTGAAATGAACATGACAGTCAGAGCAGCAGGGAAAATCGACTCCAACGGCACTTCCGATGAGTTTGAAAGGGCTTTTCTTGAGGGTATTGAGCCCGCCCTTCCGCATCTGGCATCCAAGGGGATTAAGGTTGCGGTCGACGCGGGTAGCAGCGACACCCAGAAGCTCTGCAGTATATTGGCGAACAAGATTGAAGCCCAAGGGCTGAGCCTTCGCGTCGGATGGATCGAAGGCGACGAAGTCATCGATCTCGTGCGTGAAGACTTACAGGCTGGGGCGGAGCTTAGGAGTCTGACCACTGGTAAGCTATCTATGATTCGAAATTCTTTCGTGGGCTCTAACGCGTGTCAAAGGTCAAAAGCTACTTGACTGGGGGTACGAGCCTCTGTATGCTCAGTGTTACCTTGGCAGCTGGGGCATTGTCGAGGCGTTCAGAGGTGGCGCGGATATTGTTATCTGCGGCCGCGTGGCAGATGCATCTCCTGTTATCGGCTGTGCCGCCTATCACTACGGATGGCAGCGCAGAGATTATCAGCAGCTCGCCAGCGCCCTGGTTGCCGGCCACATGATCGAGTGCTCTACCTATGTCACGGGAGGAAACTTCTCGGGCTTCAAATCGTTGCCTGGTGACGTGACTAATATCGGGTTTCCTATCGCCGAAATCCTGCCCAGCGGTGACTTCTACGTCACGAAGCAGAAGGACACTGGTGGCATGGTGACGACAGAAACGTGCAAGGCCCAGCTGTTGTACGAGATCCAAGGGCCCCTGTATTACCATTCAGATGCTGTTGCTGTTCTGGATGGGATCAAGTTTGAACAGGTCGGAGTTGATCGAGTGTAGGTGCCCCGTCCCATACCTGGCTTTACACCAGGTTTTGAGGTTACAAGAGACTAATTTGTTTGATACAAGCTTCGTTTCCAACATTGGAGGCCGGAAACCTCCCCCCACCACCAAGGTCGGCATTACTGCCAAGGGCGGATTCCAAGCTGAGGCCCATTACTTCCTATGCGGCCTGGATATCGAGGAAAAGGCTCAGCTACTTGAGAAGCAACTCCGATCGGCTTTAGACGAGTCAAAGTACCATTGTTTGAAGTTCCGCACGAATGGAGGATGCCTAGAGAATCCTGATAGCCAGGATTCAGCTACCGTTGACTTTCGTGTCTTCGCTCAAGCTAGAAACGAGAGCGATCTTTCTAGGGCTTCCTTCCTCGAGCCTATCACGAATAACATCATGCAAGGCTACCCTGGCGCTACCTTTGCAATGGATACGCGGCAGGCTCTACCAAAGCCGTATTATGAGTACTGGGTAACGCTAGTATCGCAGAGTCGGGTTAGGCATATTTGCCATCTACCTTTCAGCAACTTGCATGTGACTATTCCTGCGCCCGACGACACAGAGGATTTTGTTATGAACCAGGTCTCTTATGAGACTACTAACCCCACCGACCTATCCGATTTCGGTCCGTGTGTCTGGAAGCCTTTGGGCTACGTCGTCCATGCGCGTTCCGGGGACAAGGGGTCGGACTCAAACGTCGGCTTCTTCGTTCGCAGTGCCGAGGAATGGGACTGGCTACGCACCATACTGACAGTCGACATGGTCAAGACGCTCCTCGGCCGGGATTACACCGGTAATCGTATCTTTCGCTTTGAGCTGCCTAACATCTGGGGTAAGTGACTTTCCCGATGCGTTGACTTATTTTCGCATTTCTGTCACGTTCCGTGCTGGGGCTGAATTCTTTTAGCTGTTCATTTTCTCCTCAAGAACCATCTGGACCGCGGTGTGGGAGCCAATTCAACATATGACTTCCTGGGGAAGAACGTGGCGGAATACCTGCGGAGCAAGCATGTACAGATTCCCGTGAAATTCCTTGAGCATGGGAGGATCTAAACCTTCCATCAGGTATTAGACTATTGTCAACTAGGGTAGAACAATTACACTCACAGGGTTTTCCCTCCCTTTCTGTGGTGACAGCATTCTGTAGATCAGACTGAGGTTCTATTTAATAGTATTTTGTGATGGGCACCTCTGCTACGGGTGAAAGCGTAGTGCCTAGCTCACTAACCTAAAAGGTGGCGCCCCGCGAGATGTTACTAACTGTGTGCGTGCGAGGCCTTAAGGCACGCTGTGCGCGCACACACGTAGTTAGTATAGGTAGTACATGCCTACATGCGTGCTGTCACAGTCCTCCTGCTAGCTTGAGGGCTACAGTAGTGGCGGCTAAGACTGCGCGTAAACAATGTGTGTGAAGTGGCTTGATTGATATAGCTGTGAGCGCTGGGCGCCTGGCTATGAAGTGGTCTGGCTGATCCATTATCCCTTTAGATGCTGAAAATAGCTTAAACTGAGCAGCAGGGGTAGTTAACTAATTATATAATTCGATTATAACTAACTCTATACAAAGTATATTATTAATAGGGGTTACCTATACTCTCTACTACTTAAAAAATCTAATAAGTAATACTAACACTTAGGTCTTTTTATTATACTACTTTACTTAGTAGTTACTTTTCTAATAGAGGGGTATATTATACTTAATACAGCTATAATATGTATAGTACTACTTTCTAAATATATTACTACTAATTACCCCTAATATTATTCTAAAACGTTTTATATAAACCTAATATTTCTATTATTATTTTATTTCGTTTAATATTATATAAAAATCTTTTTTAAACTTAAATAGTTAAAAAATAATACTCTTTAATAATATTAAGCTTAAATTGTTTTATAAGTTATTAATAAAGATTATATTTAAAATTATTAAAAGGCTTTTCGTAAAAGAGGTTTAAAGTTTTATATAATAAATAAGAATTAATAAGAATAATTTTTATACAAACTATAAATTAATAAATTAAACCTCTCAAAATCAATATTAGACTTCTAATATATTTAATAAAAAGTTAAAAATAATAAACTGTCAGCTGCTATAGTAGCTATATTAAATAGCTACTTTAAAGTAGTTAGCTTTATATTAGCTGCTATTATTAATTTTATTTATATAGCCATTATATTTCTTAATAATTATAAAAATAAAGAGAAGTAGCTTAAGCATAATAATAGGTTTCTTATATTTACTTTAGTTTTAAAAACTATCTATACTAATAATAAGGTTATTAAGCACTTTAAAAAGCATATATATAGTTCTAATTAAAATTAATATAAATAAGAAATAATAATATATTCTAATAATAATGATTTCCTAGCTATTAAATATAGTGCTAAAATAGAAATACTACTATATTATCTTTAAATATAATAAAACAAACGTAAAAAGATCTCTAAAGTATATAGTTATTTTATTATTATTTACTTGAAGTTAGATAAATAGATACTATGTCTTTAAATTTAAATATATGATACTAATATTAATAATAAGTAGATCTAATTAGTATAAATAGCATAAAAAGTTAATAGTAATAAATAAGTTATTAATAAATATATAGAAATAAGTAGTTAAATAGGTTAGTAGTAAGCTTATAAAATAAACTAGATATTTTAATAAAGTAATAATAATAGCTTAAATTAGTATTAATTAGTAAAATATTTAAAAGCTATTAAAAACCTTTTTATTAGCTATTATAGTAGTTTTTTTAACTACCTCTACTATAGCTTAAACTTATACTTCTAATAATAGCAATGGATGTATACTAATAAAGCTTCTTTTAGTTATTAAAATAGTAATAGAGGTAGCTTTAAAAATAGTAGCTTTACTATAAGAGATTTAAGAGAAAAAGTAACTACTCTAAATAAATACTTATAATTTAAAGCTAATTTTAATAAGTGTTTTTAGTATCTTAATAATGTTATAAAAATAGCTTTACAAATAAATTATATACTTACTAATAGAGATAGTTAAAGTAGGATTTTATAGTAAAATTAAAGTTTTTCCTATTAAAATAAACTAAAACTTAATCTTCTATTAAATATCTTATAGTAAGGTTATTATATTAAGGTTTTAAAATTTAAAATTATAGTAGATAATAAAAATTTGATTCTTCAAGATATATTTATTTAAGTTATAAATAAAGTAGTAAGGATTAGAGAACTAAAAATAGTATATTTTAGCTTTGGAGTGAATGATTACATAAATAAATATAGTAAAAAAGATATATATTTTAATAAAAGTAGTAATAAAATTAATATTATAGTGAGAAGCTTTTTATTTAAAGCTTTAGTAAAAGCTACTAATTTTAATTTAATATTAATAGTAGTATTAATTAGTCTATTTTATTTAGTTTATTAGTATTTTAAAAGATAGAAAATAGAAGAAACTCTTAATAATACTCTCATTAGTAAAGAGAGTAAATATAGGTATATAGCTAGTAATATATAGCTTTAAAAAGCTAAGTAGTAATAGTTTTTAAGTATATTACTAATAAGCTAATCTTAAAATAAATACTATAAAAGAGGTTTAAGCTTAAAAAAGTTATATTTTTTCGCATTTTATAAAAGAAGAAGTGCTTAAAAGTTAAGATTTTATAATATAAAGTCCTATTAATTTAGATTAAGTTTTAAGTTTAAATTAGCTATAAAAAAGACAAAATAACTAAAACAAATTTTATATTTTTATCTATTTTATTAGATTTATTAGTAGTAAGGTTTGTTTTATTATTACTATTATTATTATTATTATTATTGTCATAAGAGGGGATTATAAAAAAAGGTGAAAATTACTACTTTAGCGTGTTAAAATTAGAAAGCTAAGTTACCTAAAGTCTAAGCGTTTTAAGAAATCTATAATTAAGTAAAAGCGTATTAGTTAAAATCTAATACCTCTAATTAGCCTAAAATTAGTAAACGTAGGTTAGGTCATTAATTATATCTAAGTGTAAAAATACTAGTTTTTAACTTCAGTAGTTAATTAAAAGTTTAATATAGATTAATAACTTCTAAAAAACCTAAAAATATAATTACTCCATTAATTTATATTAGATTATCTCTTTGTATTTATTAGTTAGATTATAGTTAATTTATAGTGGATATTTAGAAAATGCTGCTTTATATTAACTCCCCTATAAGTACTTAATATCACTTTTTAAAAGTAAGTTAAGCTATTTTTAATATCTAAAAGAATAGTCTGTTGTATTAATAGTGTCTAGCCCCCCCTTTTCCCCACTTATATAGAAATATAAAGAAAAGCTAGTTTTATACTAAAACATATATATTTCTATATCTTATATAAATCGCCCTAAATTTATTAGTAGTACTTTAATTACTATTAATTATTATAGTTATAGTAGTATTTAAATATATAACTATGTAATAGAGATGTAAAGTATATATCTAATACTTCTATAATAATTGACTTATTTATAGAAATATTATTAATTTAACTAATTATTGTATTTTTATGAATATATAATAATAATAATAACGCTTAGCTTACTTTAGTTTTTTATATAAAATAAAGTAATATAATATAAAATATAAAACCTTGTATAAAAATACTTTATTTATTATAACTTATAACTAGTTATAATGTTAATTATATAATATATATAGTTATACAAATACTTTATATAACTAGCAGTTTATTAAGTTATATTTTAAGTTAGTTTTCTCTTTATTCTTTCTTATTAAAAAGTACAATTTAGTAACTATAATAATAAAAGTTATTATAATATATTTATTCTTTTGTTTTGTCGATTTAATTAAATATTTATAAATACTTAAGATTAGTATTTCTTATTATAATATAAGTCTATGTATAACTTTATACTGTATAAGTATATATATATTACGCTTTTAAATATACTTGTATTTATATTAACATAAATTATAATAACTAATTATTAAAACCTTATTAATAATAATATTAAGTTTATAGTTATTACACAGCCTCTCTATAAGAAGACTATAGCAAAGTTCACTCTATATATAAGTATAATCCTAAAAACAATATATAAATACTTTAATTTATATTTTTTACTAATTAAGAAAAACAGTATAGAAACCTTATATATTCCTATTAATAAGTAAATCTTTATATAAAACTAAATATATACTATAGCTAAATAAACTAATAAAATAGTAATAATATTAGCTACATAGCGTAAGGCTGATTATATTAAAACTAAATAGGTTACTAAAGCTCTTATAGCTTAGCTAAAAATAGCTTTATTAAACCTTTTAGTAACGTGTTATAAATATTATTATATGAGAAATAACTCTTTAACTAAAAAGGTGATTAAAAGAGGTTCTTATACTACTAATACTATCCCTAGTACTGCTTTGCTATCTATTATATAAGTTATTACTATTATTATCTTCTTATTTAATTAAGCTAGCTAACGCCTTTATAGCTATACTATTATTAGTAACGCTCTCTCTATTAGTTAGTATAAAGCGTACTCACTAATAAGCCTTACTAAGCTTAAGCTTAAGCTACCTCTACTTTAGTATTATAGAAGGCTTATATAAAGGAAAGCTACTCCTTAAAATAGCTAGAAATACATATAGCTTCTATATAGAATTATCTAAAGCTATTATTTATTATGTTCATTATAGTATAGAGAGGGTTCCCTCTAGAAGTATTTATAAAAGCTTTATCTTTAGCTACTTTAATAATATATTACTAATTAGTAAAAAAGTATTTATTAAATTTAAAAGCTTTATTTATTATATAGATATTATTCTATATAGCGATACTTTTAGCTATTTACTTATAGAACAGTATATTTTATAGAAGATTAACGTTCTTATATATCTTTTATAACATAGATATTATAAAGGATTTATTATAAGTTATAAGAAGAGGAAAAAGAAGAAAAATACGTATAAAACTTGATATATAGTAGAGTTTTTATACTTTTAGCTATAAGAACCTCTTCTAATAACCTCTTTAGTTAAGGAGTTATTTTTTATATAGTAGCACTACTATAAGA